GGTAAAGAGCTATCTAAATGCAAAAGTTGTAAAAAAAGTTACATGAATGTTAGAATAGAAAAGCTCAGCTAAAAACTTAAAGTAACCAGAGGTTAGCTAAAACGTAGCACTTATGATAGCTATAAGCTGAAAGTAGTAAAATCCTAGCTAGAAGCTAAAAGAAACCAGGTCAGTGTAGCAGAATGGTAGCTACATTTTGCAGAAGGATATATTATAAGATTTTATTCTTCTTTCTGTTCCTTTTCATTTGACTACGTTGTGATTGTGTTTTTGACACAACGATGTTGTATTATTTGTTTGTTCTTTTATCATTTATTTGTTTTATTACTATTTGTTTGATTGTTGAATGAAATAAAGTTTTGAGAAAAAAAAGTTTTTTCACCTAGTGCCCTTGGCGGGCCAAATGGGAGTCGCCTGCAGACCACATTTGGCCCGTGGGCCTTCAGTTTGACACATGTGACCTTGTAGATAAGTGACATGCTTATGAACAAAATGTATGACAGCGTTCACCCTCAACTGTGAAGAATAATGCTGATTAATAGCATTTTAAGACCTCAGTTAGTTCTTTTAAATTTAGCAAGTGCAAAAGCACTAAAGCACTAATCATGAAATTGTTTCCCCTATTAGTGCTTAGGGGAACTGTGCCCACCACTGAATGTCCCCAACAACATACCAACWCATCAACACTGTCAGATGTTTTTCTTCCAGTCTTCCATATGTTTCTGTAACAACAATTTGAGAAACTACATGGATAAAACATTTCAAACTGCACCAGCTGACAGGCAGGGTAACAGTTTTTTTCTGCTTGATTTAATACTTTAATATGAGTATCTTTAACTCATAAAATTAAGGCCACGGTACGCCCACTTGGTGAACTTGTGGTTCAATTTAAAATTTTCAGCAGCTGCTAACAGTGGCTAGCAGTAGCCATTGGTTGTTTGTCGCAGTATGATGACATCCGTGTTAGCAGCTGCTAACTTTTGCTAACGTTTCTAACACAGTTAAAGATAATTTTTAAATTCTAAATTCAAATTGCGTTCATGAAAAACCAGTATGGGCGGTACCTGTGGTCCAGCAGTTTGAAGTGCAGCTCAGACACCAGTGATAACTGCAGGTTTGATGTCTTGTAGGGAAGCTTTAGCTGTGTTAAAGCGCTACTACTATTGTCGCAGGATGATGACATCATAACATGAGTCGAGCACCAACAGCAAAGGTTGCGATCCAAAAACGCTGAATATGAAATTCAACATTTAAGGTTTAACGTTTACATTTAGGATTTAATATTGAAATAATTTTTTAACACTTAAATTTAACATTTTGTAAAAATTGGCTAAATGTAAGAACAGTGAGCTAAATATTAGTAGGATCTTAATGGAAAAAAAATGCTTAAAAGGTAAGCTAAATAAGAAAACACTTGTCACCCCATTCTGTTTGTTGAGTGAATTTTTCCAAAACTTTTTATTATAGAAAATTAAGAGAGAGTCTCCCTATATTTTTTTCCAAGATTCTGTTTTATGTACTGTCTAATAGTTTCTGTGGAATGCAATGTTTTCGAGCTTCTCAGTTTGTAATATCAAAGCAAACACACTGCTTGGAACAATGCTCCCTCCTGTTCCCAATTTCCTTTTTTCCCCAGCACTCGGCTGCAGTACCTCATCAACTGCGTTTCATGTGGTTCCTCCCGCCCCGTTGTTGGCAAAGCCCCACCAGTGTATCCCACCGCTGTAAGGTTAATGCCGCTGCAGTGCAGACACGACAATCAAAGGAGTGCCGAAGACATATTGAACCCAWTGAGCCGGACACATGATGCAATGCTGCAGCAATTTAGCCCCGGTCTCACATCGCTTAGAGAGGAACTCCTTAAAGAGAGCGTGGGGCAGTTTCCTCTGGAGCATCGAGGTATGAAGGGAGGGTTTAGTGGCTTTAATCAAAAGTACTGCTTGAGGGGRAAAAAATGGGATGGGGCATTGATGCAGTCATTTCATAATTGGGTTTCCCCTGTGGAGAGAGGCAAACAGAGGTCTTCATGYGCTTGCTGCAAGGGCTAAGGCCCTTTGTGTAAAGGAGAGTATCACATTCCAGCCCTGTGAGGGCCTGCAGCAGATGTCAGCACTTCACATTGTGGAATCCCCTTTTTTTTCTTTTCTTTTTTTTACATGCCCTCACACACAAACACAAATGCACACTCATTTCGTGAGGTTTTGTCTGTAAAACGTGTGTATTTTGTCTCGTCCACGTTTGACCGCCGCAGTCACGGTGGTCCTCTTGAAATGTGGAGGCTTTGATACGAAGGAGATCAAATAAACAGAGGGAATTAAGGACAGGGTAAATTGTTTGGGTCACTGCCTGCATGCGGAGACATGTCATCCAGGAGGAGGATTTGTGTCCACCAAATGTGTGCAGCTGAGTTTTCACAGTCATCAGGCTCAAGGCTAAATCCCATTAGGCTTGCTCATTGTTTTTTGGAGAGCRTATTGTCAAACAAACAAATGTTCTCTCCTGATCAGTCCTCATCAAAACATATGATCTGTAAACAGTAACAAAACACTARGACTGTTTAAAAAAATCTGGGAGAAACTTGAACGTATATTTAAAAAAAGTCCATCTTGTAGCTTCTACAAGTTTTTCACCATTTGAATAAATTAGTAACATGTTGTGTTGGTTCTTCTAAAGATTGGCATGTTGGAAGTTTGGCCTCGTGGTGACCAATTGCCCCCAGCTGCAATTGGCTTTGAAATCAGAGCCCCCTGGTGGTGCCCCTCGGAGGCTACACCCTCCAACTTTCCTGTCAGCCACTCTCTGACACGCTGTGGGAAACTTTTCTAAATGTCTTCAAAGCAAAACACATTTTGTTTCCAGCAAAGGAAGCATATTTCATCCTGTGATTAAAAAAAAAAATCAAATGCACTCTCCCATCCGGCCACTAATCCAACCATTTTCTAATTTGTTTATCTTATTTTAAGGTCAAACGGGGGTCGGGACCTTAATCTTGAGGCAAAGTTCAAGTCTATTTTTTTTTAAATCTTCATTACTGACTTAAAACATGTTTAAAAGATTGTTTTATATGTTGGATTTCTGCTTCTGGAACTGAGGCATTCACATTTATTGGGTTAATAACTTATAAATGAGTTAATGTAGTAATTACTGTAAAACATGCTGATTTTAATATTATTTTATAAATGTAAACTTTTTCTTGTTCATGAGATGTACTGGATGTTCTTGTACTGGCATGACCAGGGGCGGTTCTAGGGGCAGGGCCACTGGGGCAATGACCCCCGCTGAACTCTGACTGGTCCCCTGAAGTGCCCCTGTCCTGTCACTCATCTGTCCTTTTACCGGGGGTGATGATGGTGGATGCAGTTCCATGTTCAAACACTAGTTGCTCTAATGAGTCAAATAGTAAAGTCCGGAATGGATCAAGCTAACAGAATTCTTCTCTTCTTAAAATGTGAACAATCCTGTAAAAAAAGTTTTTCAACTGACAAATGATGGCTGGATTTTCTCACATGTGTGTTTGAAAATATTTTATCAATGTACATTAAAATGTATGAAAAACTGGTGAGGAGAATTTACTGTGCAAGATTTTTGTTACCACCATACAATCAAGCTCCCCTTGTAGATGGCTTATAAAGAGTTTATAGATAGGTTATTAATTAATTAGTAAAGTTTACACTTCCTAAATCATTAATAAATGAAACTGGACAAACTTTTCTCTTTCTCGTCCTTAATTATTGCATAATAAACACTTCTTGATAATTTTAAAGTGTTTACAGATTAATTAATAACCTATCTATAAACTCTTTAAAATCCATCTATAAGGGGGGCCTTATTGTAAAGTGGTATCTTTCATTCATTTTTTAAAATTACATTACATTACAAGTGTTTGAAGTGTAAAGTGTATACACTGGGAATTTGTGTGAAAGGATGTTGAACAAAGACTTGGCACCTCTGAATATTGTGGCCCCTTGATGGCYCCKTACTCAGAAAAATCCTAGATCCGCCACTGGGCRTGACCTTTATGCCTTTAGGAGCAAATCATTTATTAGTAGGCAAAGTATCGAATTTAATTCCAAAGTATAGAAGTAAAGCTTATGTAAAACGATGTCATTTTGCAGTAGCCTGTACTGTTAGACTGCATGTCTTTAGAAAAGTCACTTAATGCATATTTAATGCATTTGTTGCGGCCGTGCCAAAAAAACAATTTTCCCGCTGTTTGGAAAACATTTTCAGATTTAGTCGATACGATATCTCACATTCAACAGGTTCCTGGCTCGGTGCCCTGGCAGTAATTTTAGTTAGTGTTGGCCTAATGAGACGTGTGCTGACAGGGAAGTCCTAGCTTTCATTATGTCCATCTGCTCATTCTCCGATGCAAAGGTCAGATTCTCCCGGCTGCCAAATTTCATTATAAAATTGCTGTGTTTGAAACCTGCACTCTGCAACAGAGATATACTGTATCCATGTTTGTATTTTTGAAAGCTGATGCAAAATGAGCCTTAAACGAAGGCCAGGAGAGGACCTTAAACAGAATGTTAGAAATCTAAGATTGTTTTGGAAGTTTCAAGGTTTTTGATTTACAGTTCCTCACAGCCTCGTTCGCTCCGAAAGGTCTTGTGACACGTGCTATTTTCTCCGCCGAGCGATTTATCTTGTGACATATTCAAAGTTGTGCCCATAAAACCTCTCTGGCGTCAGTTAAAGAACTATCAATCACTCCTAAAATGAAAACAAATAGCAGGCAGTGCATTGTGAAATGGGTGTTCTGTAGTGACATCAGTGCGYCCCCAGTAGGAAAGTAGTTGCAGAAGTGCGGATTGCACGCCTGGTAATAATAGATCACAGAAGATTGCATCAATTTAGGCTGACATATTTCTGGACAGGCACATTATTGTGCATCACACCCACGTATATCAGAGAGCCAGACACTTTTTTCTTTTTTCYTTTTTAATCGACACAACCAGAGCCCACGATTCGTGACAATAGTCATATGCTGCGCATTAATTTGCGGATGAAAAGTCAGGATTATAATACAGCAATCAGGGTGGAAAAGTCAAACAAGTTATCTGWCATGAAGCGATGACTGAGATACGGATCTAAATTGTCGGGAAAATCCACTAAGCGTTACATTTTATTTTCACTGCCGAAGCCAAACGTCAAACTTCTTGTCAATTTCTTGACAGGTGTTTACATCGAACAAATAAAAAATGACACAACCCCCTTTGGGATGTTTATTAAACCTTTCATTGTGCGGAAGAATTATGACCAAAAGAACATTAAAGTGAATGTTTTTTCATTGAGGAATAAAAAAAAGAAGTAAATTCGGTCATGGAGGTATTTTTGTCATACACAAAACCCAGAAAAAAACATTTGAAAAAACACACTGTTTTATTTTATTTTTTTACTCAGTTCTGTTATGTTACAGTAGTTTTAATGAAAGCTTTTGCAAGTTCAGGGTCCAAACTGGTATATATGATTTGATTTAAGTTTACTTAAATCAATAATACTGGAAAGAACAATTACAATGTTTAAAGTTATAATTTAATGTGAACTCAAATGTACATAGTTTTGAAAGATCCACATTGCAAACATATTAAAATACATTATGTCAAACTAAAAGGTTTCTAATGTTCACAGGYCCTAAACACACCAGTTTATTGAAAATAACTTATGTTGTGTTCTAAACAATGTTGAATTTAGACACGGGGCAGGAAGCCAGAAGTTGAAGTCACACATGAGCTCACCAGTGGCTGGCTGGAAAACAAGTTTTGGCTCCTCTTCTTTCATGGACAAATGTTCCTATCAAACAAAACAAACAAAAACCATCATAAAAAACGAATTATTAATGTTTTATTTTACTTATGTGTTTTTTGTTCTGCTGTATGTTCCAAAAAAAATGTTATTTGAGGTTTCAAACATAATTCCACTGTGACTGATAATGTGACTACCTGTTAGTGAGTTGAACGTGTGTGTAGGCGAGACTTTCAAATTGATGTTACAGTTCCATGTAACCAGTGTGCAGACTCCCCCCCCCAAAAAAATAAAAAAATAAATGAAACAGCTGTGACTCCAAAATTGGCATTTCCTTTTGAATTTTGGTCAATGAAAGGAATCGCTTTGTCCATGTTCATTTATGTCACTGGGCTTACTCAGATTTTGTTTTATTGAGCAAAATTTATCTAGTATCATACTGATTACAGCTATTCCAGTTTTTAAATATGTATTTTTTTTATTTTTTAGGAATTACAGTAATTGTCAAATTGTGCATGTTCCAAGTATCTGGAAATGGATTCTAAGTATCTGACTGAATTGTGGGGTAAAAAAAAATAGCCACATTTGTAATGTTTCAGGGGCAGCAGTGGTTTCTGATGAGCTTTTTCGGGCCAGAAAAAATGAGTTTAAGATAAATCCTAAAAGAACAAAACTATCTGACCAGAAGGATGGACATAATCATCACTTGTGTTTTCAACACTGAAAAGGGCAGTCAAAAAGTGCTTCCATCAACATCCCAATTCTGCATGGATCCTTTAAAATAAAGTCATGATCATGTCTTTTTAAAAATGTTTATGTTATGTTGGAGCCTATTAGTTATTTAAATGACAATCTTGTTAWATGTAAATTTGTGTACATTGATATTATTTTAAAATAAGCCTAATGATTATGGT